CACCCCTCCGCCGATGGGATTTGTAGTCCGAGTGCGCCTGGAAGGCTGGCGCAAGAGCTCTGACTGCGGATTCCTCACTGCCGAAGGCAGACAGCGGAAGACAGGATAGAATCCGCTCCCCTGCCAGGCGTGCCAGGACATATAGACCCCCCCCCCGACCGACTGGCAGCCTGGCACACCCAGTCCCTGTCTCAGACACACAACTCTGCATCACAGCTCCCTAGGCGAGGTGGGGGGTGGGAGGTGGGGAACGAGAAAAAGCGCCAGCCCCCCTCCTTTTCCAAGCCTGGGTGCCTAGGCCTGCTCCGCCCACTAGGCCCAACTGCCCTCCGAAGCAAGGTCAGGAATCCTGGCTTCCCACCAGCTCTTCTTTCCTGGGGAAAGGAACCCAGGCGTCCGGGACCTGGAGGCGCACGCACCCCTTTCCCAGGGGAACCCAGGAGTCCTGCTCTCCTCCCCCACCTTCTTGTACCTTACTTAGAGGCACACTTGCCCCTCCCCCCTGCCCAAGAGGACCCAGGAGTCCTGCCCTGCTGGTACCCACCAGGAAAAAACACTTTTATTATGATTTTAAGAAACTTTTAGCTTTTAAACTAAAGGCAAAATTCAAACCTCAGTGACCATATGAAACAAAGAGGACCCAGGAGTCCTGCTCCGCCCCTTGAACTGGCGCCCCACTAGAGACAGACCCCTTTTTTTAGAGGACTCAGGAGTCCTTCTCCCCCCCCACCCACCCAAAAAAATTCCTGACACACTTCCTCCCCAAGGACCCACCTAGAGGCGCAATCCTTCCCTGGAGGACCCAGGCGTCCTGCCCCTTCCCCACCCCCACCCTTGCCCCCCAGGGGAGCCCCCCCCAGCCCTTTACTCTAAAAAAAAATACCCTACAGAGGAAGACCTCCTCTTCCAAGAGGAACCCAGGAGTCCGAGAGAGGCAATTGGGGGGGGGAGGGGACCCTCCGCCCCGCCCCCTCCCAGACCCCCCACCCCACCCCTCGCCCTCCTCCCACCGGAAGTGGCAGGAATTCCCAGGCTCCACGTGACGCTCTGGAATGCGGTGACGTCACCCCCGGGGGGGTCCATTAAGAAAAAAAAGAAGTGTTGCGTGGGAGGCGGAGGGGGGGGGCAGAGAAAGGGAAGGAAAGTTTTCTGCGGGACGGAAGAAAGTTTGCAAGGAAGTTTGCAAGGAAGCCTCGGGCCGGGAGGGGATCGAGCTGGGGCGCGAGGAGGATCGACCCCACAAGCTGCCAGATCCTGGGATCAGGTGAGCCCCCGAGGGGGGGGGGAGGTTGCAGGAGACCCCCCCCCGCCACCCCACCCATTGCATTCAAGCCTGATGCAGTTTTTAGGGTGGGGAAATCGGCCCCCTATTTCCGAGCTGGGCGCGTCCCTTGCCCTCTTCCCCTTTCCTCCCCATATATTCTCTAGGGTGAAAGTTGGCTGGCCCCCCCAGGACCCCCTCTTCCTCCACCCCCACCCCCCTGTGCATGGGGGGGGCTAATAGGGGGCTCCCCGCTCCCACTTTGGGGGCGAGAGAGATGGAGGGTGAGAGCTCGGACGCCTGGGTTCCTCCCTGCTGCAACCCAGAGTTGTGGGGCGGCAGCAGCAGCGGCCTTGGGGATCTTGGGTGGGTCGGAGGATTTGGGGGCCCGGACGCCTGGGTTCTTGCAAGGAGGGGGTCCCCATATGTTCTCTAGGGTGAAAGATGGCTGGAACCCAGGACCCCCTCTCCCCCTACTCCTGTGCATGGGGGCTAATAGGGGGCTCCCCGCTCCCACTTTGGGGGCGACAGAGAGCCCCTTTGGAAATGGGAGGGTGAGAGCTCGGACGCCTGGGTTCCTCCTTGCTGCAACCCAGAGTTGTGGGGCGGCAGCAGCAGCCTTGGGGATCTTGGGTGGGTCGGAGGCTTTGGGGGCCCGGACGCCTGGGTTCTTGCAAGGAGAGGGGTGCAGCAGTAGGCCTCGTCCTGAGCTGGGGGGCTCGGCTTGGAGCAACCCCTCGAGCGCAGGGCATGTGCAAAGTGCCTTAAAAATCTGGCCTATGGGGCCCGACCCATAACTGGCTTCCAGAGGGGTCTGGGTGTGGCTTTGGAGCAGACCCTGACATGATTTTAAGGGGGGGGGACTGAGAAGCTGGGCGATTTGGGGAAGGGGTGGGGGAAAGCCAGATTTGTCTTTGACCAAAAAAAAGGGGGTTCGTTCCTATGACCCCCTTAAAAATCTGCTAGCCCACTCTGTGGCGTGGCTTGAGGGTGCTTCTAGACCCCACATTTGTGCAATTATAGCAATTGTTTCCCTTCCTTCCACACCCCCAAAACCTCCTTTCTGAAGTCCTTTTTGGACGGCATTCGCAGAAGGAATAATCACAATTTTATTATTTATATCCCACCTTTCTTTGCTCCAGAAGCTCCTCATCTAAACTTCCCCAGTGAAATAGGATTTATATTTTATTTTTTTACTGAAACCTTGAAGTCGTCGATGATTCTCCTTATTACATCCACAGGCCATCTTTTTTCTTCGGAGAAACTGAGGGAGTTTCCCCCCTTCTTCTCCTTCCATCCTCACAACAGCCCTGCGAGGGAGGCGGGGGCCAGGCTGAGAGGCAGGGACCGGCCCCCGAGGCCACACACACACAATAATAATAATAATAATAATAAATTTTATTTATACCCCGCCCTCCCCAGCCAAGGCCGGGCTCAGGGCGGATAACAACCAATAATAAAAACAAGTTGAACGAATGCAACTTTAAAAACAAGATTAAATACAACATTAAAACATTAAAATGCAGCCTCCTCACAGGAGGAGAAAGGAAAAAAGAAAAAGGGGGAGCAAGATTCATTTGTCTGGCACTCCAACCACGGCACCAGCAGCTTTTTGCAGTTGGCCTCGGTTTTTTGGTGTGTGTTCTTAAGAAGCTGTGGATTTTCTGAACATCGGAGGTTGAATCCACCTTTCCCAACCAGGTGCCCTCCAGGAAGCCTCGGATGGGTCTGAACCACCTGGAGGGCACCATTTTGGGGAAGGGTACCGTATTTCCCGCTCCATAAGACACACTTTCCCCTCCTAAAAAGTAAGGGGAAATGTGTGTGCGTCTTATGGAGCGAATGCAGGGGGGAGGCAGGCAGGAAAAGCCCCCAAAAGCCGCCCACAATCTTCGTGTGGCTCTTGCGGGCTTTTTCTCAGGAGGGAAAAGGGACTGACGCGGCCAGTCAGTCCCTTCTCCCTCCTCGTAGAAAAGCCCGCAGGAGCCGCGTTCTCCTTAAAGGGTGCGCGGCTCCTGTGGGCTTTTGCGGGAGGTGTGGGGGTATTGCCATAGCTGCGCGCAGCCTCTCCCTGCCAGAGAAGTTCAGCCTCTCCCGGCTGGAGAGGTTGCGCGCTGCTATGGCAGAAGCCAAGGGACGCGGGTGGCGCTGTGGGTTAAACCACAGAGCCTAGGACTTGCCGACCAGAAGGTCGGCGGTTTGAATCCCCGCGGCGGGGTGAGCTCCCGTTCCTCGGTCCCTGCTCCAGCCAACCTAGCAGTTCGAAAGCACACCAGTGCAAGTAGATCAATAGGTACCGCTCCGGCGGGAAGGTAAATGGTGTTTCCGTGCACTGCTCTGGTTTGCCAGAAGCGGCTTAGTCCTGCTGGCCACATGACCCGGAAGCTGGATGCCGGCTCCCTCGGCCAATAAAGCGAGATGAGCGCCACAACCCCAGAGTCGGTCACGACTGGACCTAATGGTCAGGGGTCCCTTTACTTTTACCTTCCATATACCGTATTTTTTGCTCTATAAGACGCAAAAGTGTTGGCTGTAACAACACTTGTAATGTAATGAGAACTACGGACGCAATGGAGTTATAAAAAATCTGGATTATTTTTTTAAAAAGATGCAGTAGAAAAGGTTTAACCATTGGATCCATGGAGGGGGAAGTCCAGAGATCCATGGGGATCTTGTAACTTCGGATGAGCTGTAGTATGATTGTAAATTAAAATATGGGCAGCTGTTTACCAGCTCCATCTGGTACGCAGGATGAGACCCTCCCTGGCCACTGTCTGTCTGGCCAGAGTGGTGCATGCTCTGGTTATCTCCCGCTTGGACTACTGCCGTGCGCTCTACGTGGGGCTACCTTTGAAGGTGACCCGGAAACTACAACTAATCCAGAATGCGGCAGCTAGACTGGGGACTGGGAGCAGCTGCCGGGACCACATAACACCGGTATTGAAAGACCTACACTGGCTCCCAGTACGTTTCCGAGCACAATTCAAAGTGTTGGTGCTGACCTTCAAAGCCCTAAACGGCCTCAAAGGCCCAGTAGACCTGAAGGAGCGTCTCCACCCCCATCATTCTGCCCGGACGCTGAGGTCCAGCGCCAAGGGCCTTCTGGCGGTTCCTTCCCTGTGAGAAGCGAGGTGACAGGGAACCAGGCAGAGGGCCTTCTCGGTGGTGGCGCCCGCCCTGTGGAATGCCCTCCCACCAGATCTCAAAGAAAAAAGCAACTACCAGACTTTTAGAAGACATCTGAAGGCTGCCCTGTTTAGGGAAGCTTTTAATGTTTAACAGACCACTGTATTTTAATACTTTGTTGGAAGCCGCCCAGAGTGGCTGGGGAAACCCAGCCAGGTGGGTGGGGTATAAATTATTATTATTATTATTATTATTATTATTATTATTATTATTATTACAGTGGTACCTCGGGTTACATTCGCTTCAGGTTACAGACTCCGCTAACCCAGAAATAGTGCTTCAGGTTAAGAACTTTGCTTCAGGATGAGAACAGAAATCGTGCAGCGGCGGCGCAGCAGCAGCAGGAGGCCCCATTAGCTAAAGTGGTGCTTCAAGTTAAGAACAGTTTCAGGTTAAGAACGGACCTCCGGAACGAATTAAGTACTTAACCCGAGGTACCACTGTATTTAAAGCTAAATTTAAAAAACGAGAAAAGAAAAAGCTCTCCACAGCAACTTCTGAAACCCAGATTTCTTAAAATAAAATACAAAATCCTCTCTTTTTGTTTTCCTAGCCCCTCACGTGATGTCTGGCCCCACCTGGCTTCCCCCGAAACAGGTGGGGGTCCCGGGACAGGCTGGGGTCACAGTTTCTGCTCCGGCCGCCTTCAAGCCCCAGAAGAGTTTTGCTTCTTCTCCCAGTGCCCCCCAACCCACCTATGGGTCTCAGGAGGCCAACGGGACGATGAGCGTGCCAACGCAGTACCTACCCCCCATGCCAGGTAAGGTGGCGGCGGAGAACGCCAAGGAATTCTTTGCATGGCTGCGGGTTGGGATGGATGACCTTTGGGGTGTCCCTAACAACTCTGCAATTCCAGGATTACCATATTTAAATCTTAGACTAGCTTTGGAAGTGGGTATAGGCTGTAGGGTTAGAAGTAGAAGTGCATTTTAAAATAGTATTATTTGTAAGTGATAAAATGCGAAGATTTTTATGGTTGAAGTAAGCGGGATTTTTTTAAAAAAATGGTTAGAAATTATGATATATGTAATCTGCTAAAGATGAGGTAAAATGAAAATCAGATAGGGGGGACTTGGGGAAGCTCACCTAACAATGTTTAGAAAAAAATAAGGACAAGATAAGAATTTGTTTGTATTGTTTATTTTTCTGTTTGTATTGTTTATTTGTGTTATAAAATGAATAAAAACTTTTTTTGCGGAAAAACACAATTCCAGGATTACCTGGGGGGGAAGGGTTCTAAGAAGAAAGGGGGTGTCAGTCCCGTCGGCTTCGAGCAGATCCTAACTGGCTGGAGGCTGGGAAAATTCATATTCCTACTGAACCGTCGGAACTCCCTGCCTCTTGATAACAAGCAGTTGCCTCCGCTGTCTTCCTTCTGGCACCTGCTAAAAAAACATTCACGTCCGGACAAGCCGACCCAAACACTTGTGAATCATAACCTTTCTGGGCCTTTTTTACATGTTTTTAAACCTTCGTTGCAAATCGCAAATCTTTCCCCAAACCTCTTTGAGTCGTTGCTTCTCTTATGCAGTCCAGGGGAGTGTAAAGTTTTATTTAATAGATGAAAAATAATAATTTGTGTAATAATAAAATTGTGTATTTTCCGAAACCTCTTTGAGGCGTTGCTTCTCTTATGCAGTCAAGGGGTGCGTAAGGTAAAGGTAAAGGTACTCCTGACCATTAGGTCCAGTTGCGGACGACTCTGGGGTTGCGACGCTCATCTCGCTTTATTGACCGAGGGAGCCGGCGTACAGCTTCCGGGTCATGTGGCCAGCATGACTAAGCTGCTTCTGGTGAACCAGAGAAGCGCACAGAAACGCCGTTTACCTTCCCGCTGGAGCAGTACCTGTTTATCTACTTGCACTTTGACGTGCTTTCGAACTGCTAGGTTGGCAGGAGCAGGGACTGAGCAACGGGAGCTCACACCATCACGGGGATTCGAACCGCCGACCTTCTGATCGGCAAGTCCTAGGCTCTGTGGTTTAGACCACAGTGCCACATGCATCCCTAAGGGGTGTGTAAAGTAAAGGTAATGGGACCCCTGACCATTAGGTCTAGTCGTGGCCGACTCTGGGGTTGCGGCGCTCATCTCGCTTTATTGGCCGAGGGGGCCGGCGTACAGCTTCCAGGTCATGTGGCCAGCATGACTAAGCCGCTTCTGGCGAACCAGAGCAGCGCACGGAAACACCGTTTACCTTCCTGCTGGAGCGGTACGTACTTATCTACTTGCACTGTGACGTGCTTTCAAACTGCTAGGTTGGCAGGAGCAGGGACCGAGCAACGGGAGCTCACCCCGTCGCGGGGATTCGAACCGCCGACCTTCTGATCGGCAAGTCCTAGGCTCTGTGGTTTAGACCACAGCGTTACCCACGTCTCAAGGGGTGTGTAAGTTTTATTTAATAGATGGAAAATAATAAACCTCCCTCTTGGTTTCTTCTCTCCGCCCCCCACTCCCCAAATCTTTTTCTCCAGGCCCTCTGCCCCATGTTCACGACCCCACGGGTGACCATCATTATTCTTCCGCAGGCGAGAGAGGATCTGGAGGTTCCTGGGGCAGCGCTTCTCCTCCTGGGTACACCTTGCAGGTAAGCTGGGCTTGCAGTTCGGTTTACACGGTGACACCAGGTTTTGGGATTCGCGAATGCCTGGAACCCCATTGCACTGGAACCAAATTTCTCGTGAGATCCGAGGACCAGCCTGACGGTCACTGTTATGATTTCTTTGGTGCTTGGCTCTACATCAGGGGTCCCCAAACTAAGGGCCGCGGGCCGGATAAGGCCCTAGGGACTCGTTTATCCGGCCCGCTGCGCCGCCCGCTGCCGCCGCCCGCTCTCACCGGCGCTGCGCTGCGCGTCTGCCCACTTCCGGGTCAGAGGAGCACCGGAAATAGCTTGCGCGCGTGTCAGTCAATCAGTCACTAGCTGAACTGGGTTCCACACAGTCGCAAAAAAACCCAAATTAATCGAAAAAGCCTCAAAAAACAAAAACACAAAATAAAGAGCAAAAACAAAAGCGCCAAACTTAATCCGTTCTAGAAGTCTGTTTGACTTCGGAAATGTTTGAAAACCAAGGCACAGCTTCTGATTGGTGCAGGGGCCCCAGAAACAATAGCCGACAGCCACATCGGATGTTCGGCTTCCGAAAAACGTTCGGAAACTGGAACACTTCTGGGTTTTCAGCGTTTGAGAACCACCAAGGCGTTTGAGAACCAAGGTACCACTGTACTGCAAAGGGGCCAGCACTCCTGAGTCCCTTGACCAATTTTTGTTTGCCAGGCAGAAATCCACATGGTGCAGCTCTGGCTGTGGAAAGCTGCAACCCACTCAGTTAAAGCCCATATTTTGTCTGCTCCCTTACATCCCAGCTCAGTCCCTGGCATCATCTGCAGGGATGAGTTGGCGAGGCTCGTTTGACAACAACGATAACCTAAGCTCTTTGTGTCATTGGTCCTGTGGGACTCTCTGCCACTGGAGATTCAGTGGGCGCCTTCTTTTAAATGCCGGCCAAAAATGCTTCTATTTCTCCAGGCCTGTGCAGGCGTTTAGGAACACGTCCTCCTGCAAGGCTTAACTGATGCGTGTTTAAAACCCATTTTAAAAATAATAATAATTTATTCATACCCCGCCCATCTGGCTGGGTTTCCCCAGCCACTCTGGGCGGCTGGGGTTTTTATTTTATGGTTTTTATCGCATGGCTTTATTCTTTTATTGCCACAAACCGCTTTGTAGTATATATCTTTAGGATGTGGCAGTACATAAACAGTTTTGTAGTTAAATAAATGCCCCACGACAGCGGAGTCTGTTTAACCCATATGCCCCAGCCCTGCTGTCAGGTGAGCGGCAGGTAAAGGTGTGTCAGCCATCACTGTGGAATCTGCTTGTGGCATGCACAGAAACTGTGCAGGAATAATAACTGTGTATCTATCGCTTCATATACAAAAACCCCCCAAGCGCTTTATGTAAAACGCAAGTAAGATAATTAGGGGGAAATGAACCCAAAATGACGAAGTAGCACGTCGGCGAGAAATTAGAGAAACTACTAATGAAACATTCAGTTAAATATCAATAAATAGCAAAACCGAGCAGTTCGATCAATATTAGAAGTCTGGCATGGCCTGCTTTTAAATAGATGGGTGTTTTAAATTCATTTCAATTTCAATTTGTATATTGCCTTTCTATATTACTCTCCACAAGGTGGTTAGCAAGCTGTAGAAACAGCAAAATAGACCGCAAAGACCACACACCTAATAACAATCTGACCCCATACAAAAAAGTCACAATAACTTTAACAATATTAGTATTAATAATAATTTATAATTTATACCCCACCCATCTGGCTGCGTTCCCCCAGCCACTCTGGGCAGCTCCGAACAGAATATTAAAAACATGATAAAACATCAAACATTCAAAACTTCCCTAAACAGGGCTGCCTTCAGGTGTCATCTAAAAGTCGGATAGTTGTTTAAAATAAACAATTGATGTCAAATAAAGCAATATTCAACAATCCACTAGAATACAACAGTAAACCGTAAATATCAGCAAATAATAATTAAACATTTTACACTTATCCGTTACAATAAAAATTACTAAGCTACAATCAGTAAAAATAAGTCGCAGTGCATAAAATACCACAAAACATACAAAACTGGGTAAAGGATCAAACTGAGAAACAAGGACACAAGACTTATAAAATTACCGTATTTTTTCGCCCCCACGTATAAGACGACCCCTATTTTTTGAGCCCAAAATTAAGAAATAGAGAATTGCAACGTTCTGTGTACAAGACGACCCTGCAATTTTAAACTTTAAAAAACTGCGGGAAAATATAGTCTTATAAATGGAAAAATAGTATTATTTTTTTTACTTGGCTGCCGTTTCTGCCTCATAGAAAGGGAGAAAGGTGTTTGGCCCCTAGCTACGCTCAGGTGAGAGTCCAGCATACGTTCACCCCCCTTGGTTTAAAAGATTCTTGGTTGGGTCTGGACGATATGAGATTGGGGGGGGGGGGGACTCCCACCCAAAGCTGTCAACCGTCCCTTATTTGGTGGGACAGTCCCTTATCCCAGTGCCGTGTCCCGCTGCTGTCCCTTATTGATGATGTCCCTTAAATTTCCCGGGTTTCAAAGGAAGCAGCTCCTCTCCCTCCCTCCCTGCCGGCCAGGGAGGAGGGAGGCTCCAACTGTGTTGCTTGGCTGCGTTGCTCACCCAATAAGGAGTCTGAGAACGACTGGGGGGTGGAGCTTGCATGCTTTGTGCCAATCAAATCGGCCGCGTTGCCTGGGGACTCGCCTTTGCTCAGCGCTTCCCAGCGGAGAGGGGACGGTAGTTTTCCTTGCTGCATCCCCTTTGCCGGGTTGCTGCGCTGTGGGAACCACCGCTTGAGGCTTCGTTCGGCTGCTGGCTGGGCTTTCTGCCTTTGGCTCGGAGGGGCTCAGAAGTCAAACACACCTGTACCCGGAAAATCCCTTATTTTGGCTGCTGATCCCTTATTTTCGAGGCTGCTGGTCCCTTATTTTCAAATCTGTAAGTTGACAGCTATGCTCCCATCTCTTTCGGGGGCGCAATTAGTGCCAGCACCGTCCGTTAAGAGTTTGGGCGTCATCTTCGACACCTCCCTTTCCATGGAGGCGCAGGTTGCAGCCACAGCAAAGGCGGCATTTTTCCATCTCCGCCAAGCTAAGCAGTTGGTCCCTTACCTTTCCCGCCCTGATCTGGCCACTGTGATCCACGCGACGGTCACCTTCAGGCTTGATTATTGTAACTCGCTCTACGTGGGGCTGCCCTTGAGACTGACCCAGAAACTCCAGCGGGTGCAGAATGCCGCAGCGAGACTCCTTATGGGGTCCTGGCTGCGAGATTACATTCACCCGGTGCTTTGCCAACTGCACTGGCTCCCGGTGGAGTACAGGGTCAGATTTAAGGTGCTGGTTTTCACCTTTAAAGCCCTTCACGGCCTAGGACCCTCGTACCTACGGGACCACCTCTCCTGGTATGCCCCGCAGAGAGGTTCACAAATGACAACATTTTGGGGGTCCCAGGTCGCAAGGTGGTTAGATTGGTCTCAACTAGGGCCAGGGACTTTTCAGCACTGGCCCCGACTTGGTGGAACGCTCTGTCCCAAGAGACCAGGGCCCTGCGGGACTCGACATCTTTCCGCAGGGCCTGCAAGACGGAGCTGTTCCGCCTGGCCTTTGGCCAAGGCACAGCCTGACCCCCTCTCTCCTTCTGTAATCCTCATAGAGCTCTAACCCAATGGTTGCCATGAATTTGATTCTAGAATGAATTGATTTTAGAATGTATTTTAATTAATTGATTGTGATTTTATGTAAACTGTGTTACCTTTACTGTTGTTAGCCACTCTGAGCCCGGCTTCCGCTGGAGAGGGCGGGCTATAAATACAATACTATTATTATTATTATTATTATTATTATTATTATTATTATTATTATATCGACAGCAGGTGGGATTTGGGGGGGGGGTTAGGGGGGTCTCCCAGGCTTCAGAGTGGTATCTCTCGCCACCCATTGGCCGATCGGCGCCGAGAGACCACCCCACCTCCAAAGCCCCGGATTTTTCCGGAAGGGGGCATCCCACCTGCCCCTCGCTCACCCTTTTCTTTCTGCCAACAGGGGGCGCCTCTTGAGCAAGGTCCTCCCCGCCCCTCAAGCATCGACGTCCAGATAGACTCCCTCACCAGCATGCTGGCCGATTTGGAGAGCGCCCGGCAGCGCCGCGGCGAAAGGCAGGTGAGAGACACCGTCCAGGAATTCGGGGGGGGGTGGTGGTCAGAGGCGATACCGACCCCCTGTGCCTACCCACCCTCGCAGAATCGTGGGGTTGGCAGGGAACCACAAGGGTCATCCAGTCCAGCCCCCTGCGAGGCGGGAATCTTTTGCCCAGCATGGGTCTCGAACTCGCAACCCTGAGATTCAGAGCCGGGTTTACCTGTAGCACGGCTACCGGCGTCGGAAGACTTGTAACAAGTTCAAGGACTCGTCGCCGCTGCCAATTTCGCCCGAAGCGTTTTTTTAAAAAGCAGAAATCAAGTTTGCCGTGCGGCTGATAGAGAGCCGGGTTCGGATCTCGACTCCGCCATGGAATTCGACAGAACCTCATAAGGCTGTTGTTGTCGAGATACAGGGGCATTAGGGTAAAAAATATAATAGAGGCAGCGGGTGTCTCTGCGGGCCAGTGTGGCATATGCGGCCATGGCAAGCGACTTCTATCTGCGTTGTTATGTTGGGCTCAAGGGGAAGTTCGGCCTTGAGTTCGAGTTCCGCCCTGACGGGAAACTGAGATATGCAAACAACAGCAATTATAAAAGCGATGTCATGATCAGAAAAGAAGCCTATGTACACAAAAGTGTGATGGAAGAGCTAAAGAGGATAATCGATGACAGTGAAATCATGAAAGTAGATGATGCATCACGGCCGCCTCCTTACAGAGTTGGCCGGCAGGAGCTTGAAATTGTAGTTGGTGATGAACACATCTCTTTTGGTTCTCTAATTGATGTAAATCAGTCCAAGGATCCAGAAGTTCTCAGAGTGTTTTACTACCTTGTCCAGGACCTCAAGTGACTCGTCTTCAGTCTCATTGGATTAAGATTGTTGTTGAGTCGTTTAGTCGTGTCCGGCTCTTCGTGGCCCCCTGGACCAGAGCACGCCAGGCCCTCCTGTCGTCCACTGCCTCCCGCAGTTTGGTCAAACTCATGCTGGCAGCTTCGAGAACACTGTCCCACCATCTCGTCCTCTGTCGTCCCCTTCTCCTTGTGCCCTCCATCTTTCCCAACATCAGGGTCTTTTCCAGGGAGTCTTCTCTTCTCATGAGGTGGCCAAAGTAGTGGAGTCTCAGCTTCAGGATCTGTCCTTCCAGTGAGCACTCAGGGCTGATTTCCTTCAGGATGGAGAGGTTGGATCTTCTTGCAGTCCAGGGGACTCTCCAGAGTCTCCTCCAGCACCAGAATTGAAAAGCATCCATTCTTCGGCCATCAGGCCTTCTTTATGGTCCAGCTCTCACTTCCATACATCACTACTGGGAAAACCAGAGCTTTAACTATACGGACCTTTGTCGGCAAGCTGATGTCTTGCTTTTTAAGATGCTGTCTAGGTTTGTCATCGCTTTTCTCCCACGAAGCAGGCGTCTTTTAATTTCGTGGCTGCTGTCACCATCTGCAGTGATCATGGAGCCCAAGAAAGTAAAATCTCTCACTGCCTCCATTTAAGATTAAGCCAATTTAAATTGTATGGATTTAAATTTGTACTGTAAAGTTTCTTTCGGTGTTTCTTTCCATTCCTTATCTCTCACTGGTTTTATGTGTGTTAGATTTTTTACAGAGTGAATTTAAGAAATGCTAAAAAGCTTTTATTCCCTTGAAAAAAAAAAAAGAATAGGAGCAGCGATACGATAGAGGTTTCACACTTATTTCGTGATGGCACACCCCTCGCTGTTATCGTTCGCCAGTTTTGTCCCGGTCCCTGAGCCGTGTCCCTTCTTTCCCCCACAGAATTTGGAGCCCGCTCCCTTCTCCCACAGCCTCCCTCAGGCTGGCATCGCCAAGCCCGCCTCTGCCTACAAACAGGGCCCTTCCGGAACCTTCTCCGCCCCCACCAAGCCTCCGGGTTTCGACGCCTACGCCAAGAGCGCCGCTTACGGCGGGCAGCCGGCCCCTGCCCCGTACGTTGGTGCCGCCGTCTCCGGGGACCCCTACACTGCCGGCTACCACCGGCCGGGCACAGCCGCCAAACCGTACCCTCAGCCCATGCCCGCCTCGTACGCCACGGCTTCCTCGTCCGCCGGCCCGCCCTTCAACGTCCAGGTCAAGGTGGCGCAGCCGGTTGCCGGGTACAACCAGCCCCAGCGCCGGGCGGAGCAGGCTTACGGCCCGCCTTCCCCCGGCTGGGCTACCGGGCGAAGCCGCCCCCTCAGTACGCCTCGGAGGTGGGCGGCCGGCCCCGGGGCCACGACGCCGAGCCCTGGTACCCGGAGCCGCCGTCGTACGGCCGGCGGATGGCCGAAGGGGAGTTCTACCCGGGGCCTGGCAAGGCTGGGGCGCCGGTGGGGCAGTACCACCCCGGGTTGGCGAAACCGGGCAAGGAGGAGATGGCGGTGGCTTCGCAGATGCCGCCGACGGCGGGCGGAGGACTGAGGTTTCAGCACCAGGTAAGAGGAGAGCCCTGGGGGGAGGCGGGCGAGGGGCATTTGTACAGGGGGTCCTGCGTTCGAGTCACAAGAGATTCCGGCAGGTTTTATTTTGTTTTCCCGGCAAGTGGGGAGAGGGGGTATTGCAGAGGGCGGGGAATGTTTCTGTGGTCGAGGATTAGAGGAACAAGAAGCCTCTGTTTCTGAACCGCCCTGGGGAAGTTCAGAGGAAGGTGGGGCATGCAAATTTAATAAACAATCATTATCTACCTGTCTGTATCTGAACTGCCCTGGGGGCCTTTGGATGAAGGACAGTATAGAACGTTAATCATCATCATCTGTCTATGTCTGAACTGCCCTAGGGTTCTGTGGGTGAAGGGCAGTATACAAATTTAATTATAATATAATTATTATTATTATTATTATTATTATTATTATTATTATTATCTGTCTATATCTGAACTGCCTTGGGGATCTTCGGATGGAGGGCAGTATACAAATTTAAGAAATAATAATAATAGTCTATATTTGAACAACCCTGGGGTTCTTTGGATGAAGGCAGCATACAAATTTAATTAATAATTATTTTTTATTACTATTATTATATTATTATCTGTCCATGTCTGAACTGCCCTGGGGTTCTTTGGGTGAAGGGCAGTATACAGATTTAATCAATAATTATTATTATTATCTGTCTATATCTGAACTGCCTTGGGGATCTTTGGATGGAGGGCAGTATACAAATTTAATTTATAATAATAATAATAAATGATCAGTCTGCATTTGAACAACCCTGGGGTTCTTTGCATGAAGGGCAGCATACAAATTTAATTAATAATTATTTTTTATTACTATTACTATTATTATTATTATTATTATCTGTCCATGTCTGAACTGCCCTGGGGTTCTTTGGGTGAAGGGCAGTATACAGATTTAATCAATAATAATCATTATCTATCTATCTATCTATCTATCTATCATCTATCTATCTATCTATCTATCTATCTACCTATCTTTATTGGACATTCTCCAGCAGAGGCTGGATGGCCCCCCCCGTTAGCGATTCTTTAGCTGTAATTCCCGCATTGCAGGCGGGTTGGGCTGGATGACCTTTGGGGGACCCTTTCTCACTCTATGCTTCTGCAGTATTGGGCAGAGCCGGAAGGATCAAGGGGAGGGATCGACTCCCCTGGGGAGAAAGGGCTGCAGCATTTGCAATATTTTTTTAGTTTGGACCAAAGGCATGTAAGGAGAGACACGTTAAGCGGTTTATAAAAGTGACCGTACCCTGGAGGAAGCAGGAAAGTTCCCTCCTCCTCTCTCATAGCTCTAGGACTGGTGGGCAAGCAGCGAAGCTGGATGTTGGGGGATTAGGGGCAGATAGAAGACGGTCCTCCTTCGTGCTGGGCATAGTTAGACGGCGGAACTCCCTGCCACAGGAATGGGTACCAACCTGGATAGCTTTAAAAGAGGATTAGGCAGATTCACGGAGGAGGAGAGGCCTATGGGTGGCTTGAGAAGGGAGGGGGCTCATGGTTCTTTCTCTCTGCCCCCCATCTCGACCCACCAGGTTCCCCCCAGCCGCCCCGAAGAGGAGCTGGACCGGCTGACAAAGAAACTGGTGTACGACATGAACAACCCTCCGTCGGGCGAGTATTTCGGTGAGGTTTTTTTTGGCACCCCAAGAGATGACAACCACTCGGTGGCATGGCTTCAGAACCGGGGTCCGCAGAGGCCGGGGGGGGCGGTCCGGTCGGCAGCTGTGTCCGTCTCGGCTGCCGGTGGAGCCTCCACGGCAAGGGGCAGTCTATCTGCAGACGGGACCTGGGGAACGCTTCCCTTGCCCAAAGTCAGGCTGGGTTGTAGAGAGTTGCTGGCAGGGGCATTTTGGGGGAGCGGGGACCCCGGAAAAGGCCTCCGAACGCCTCCTTCCTCCCTGGCAGGCCGCTGCGCGCGCTGCGGGGAGAACGTGGTTGGCGACGGGACGGGCTGCGTGGCCATGGACCAGGTCTTCCACGTGGAGTGCTTCACCTGCGCCACCTGCCGATGCCGCCTGCGTGGGCAGCCGTTCTACGCCATCGACCGGCGCTCCTTCTGTGAATCCTGCTACATCGTGAGTGGGGTGGGGGGGTTAGGGGGTGCTGGCAGGTGTGGGGGGTGCAGAGCGCGGGTGGTTCTGGGAGCCCCAATGCTCGACTCCTCCCCGCTGGTCTATCCGGCTTTGGCAAATGTGTCTTTGGTTCCTCTAGTGCAGTTTCCCCCTGGTTCATAGGTTCAGAGGCACTCTGCACATGCCCAGAGGTATTCACACTCGTTCGACAGATTCTCTACTGAGATCAGGCTTTGGGGTTTAGCCTTTTTCAGCCTTTCTCAACCTGTGGGTCCCCAGATGATGTTGAACTACAACTCCCATCACCCCTAGCTAGCAAGGCCAGAGCTCAGGGGTGATGGGAGTTGTAGTCCAACAACATCTGGGGACCCGCAGGTTGAGAACCGCTGGTCTAATCCTTTTTTAAAAATAAAAAAAAGCTTCAATCCCCCCAGCTTTCCCTCCAGTTCTGGGTTAGAATCACAAGGCTGTAGAGTCGGAACGGGTCCCCCCAATGGCCATCTAGACTGACCCCGCTGCAGCGCAGGAATTGCAGCTCGGTAATCTGTGACGGGGGGCTACCCTGACCTCTTGTTTAAACCCCTCCAGTGGAGGAGAGAGTCTGCCGCCTTCTTCGATGTTGAAAAGTTGTGCCCCCCCCTGAAGAGAGGTTGCAGTGCTTGGGATTTCTTACCTTAGAGAAAGTGCGAGTAAGAGTGGAAGTTTGTAAAAAGATGTGTAGAATTGAGAAAGTGAAGAGGGTTCCCCCCCCATAACACTGGATATTGTGCACATCAATAACCTCCTCGGTCGATTCGACCCATCCTCTTTTAACGTCATCCAAGTTGACGGCTGTCACTGTCTCGTGGCGGGGAGTTCCGCAGTTTAACTCTGAGCAGTGAGAAGAAGGACTTTCTCCGATCTTTCCCGGGTCTCCCAACATCCGGCTCTGTTGTATGTCTACTAGGTCTAGCGCTGCGAGAGAGGGAGGAAAACACCCCTGTCTCTACCCCACGCGTAATTTTATAAACCTCTCTCTCTTGCCTTTTCTCCCTCCTCTCGCCAGGTGACCTTGGAAAAATGTTCCATGTGCTCCAAACCCATCATGGACCGGATCCTGCGGGCAATGGGGAAAGCCTACCACCCACAGTGCTTCACCTGCGTGGTTTGCCATCGCTGCCTTGATGGCGTCCCGTTCACGGTCGATGCCACCAGCCAAATTCACTGCATCGAAGACTTCCACCGGTAAATCTCTCTCTCCCTCCCCCCCAAGTTTCTGCTAAATGGAACTTTCTTGGATGGGGAGGGGGGTTCATGGGCACCCTTGGCTCTCTCCTCCCAGCATGCTTTGGGGTTCGGAGCAGGTGATAACTCTGATTCGCCCACAGTTCTCCCTAAAGTCCAAAGTTTTACTTCCATTCGAAATGCAGCTTTTAAAAGCTGCAAATTGTCCTATCTTCCCGGAGTTTGTCTCGTCCTCTTTTAACCCCGTCCACATTGGTGGGCATCTCCTGTGGCAGGGAGTTCCGCAGTTTTGACGACGGGTGGATATTCTCCCTCTTCTAGCAGATCTGAGCTAAAAGCGGGAGGAAATTCACTTCTGAACTCCTTAATCCTTGTCTTCTCCCTCCCCCTCCGGCAGGAAGTTTGCCCCCCGGTGCTCAGTTTGTGGTAATGCCATCATGCCAGAGCCTGGCAAAGAGGAGACCGTGCGGATCGTTGCCCTGGACCGCAGTTTTCACATAGGCTGCTACAAATGTGAGGTGAGACAACTTTGGCCGGGCTCCCTGTCTCCTGTGGGAGGGAGTCCCACAGGTTAACGTTATGCTGTGTTGGGGAGGAGGAGGAGGAGGACCTCTGGTGAGGGGACACCTGTGTTTGTTCCCTTTTGGTCCCCACCTGCACTCCGCACTCACCTGGGGCTCCTAGAAGCTTCAGCGTGCGACGGCAGCCACAATACCGGGAAACGGCTTTGACTGGCCGGCTAAACCAGGTCAGAGGAGCTGATGGGTGTCAAAGTCATGCTTTCCTTTGGGCCACGCCTGCGAGGCCGAGAGGGGGGTCTGGTCATCTGGGCAGCCCGGGACCCCCAGACACACTTGCGCCCGAGGGGGGATCACTTCAGTGCTGCTGAGGCAGAGGTTTGACTTTCCCCCTGGAGGTGCACTCCGTTGTCTCTCGAGACGGACGGATACCAGCCACCGATTCTCTTCTCTCTCCCCTTCCAGGAGTGTGGGCTGCTCCTCTCCTCCGAGGGCGAAGGCCGAGGCTGCTACCCGCTGGACGGCCACATCCTTTGCAAGAGCTGCAGCGCTCGGCGGATCCAGGAGCTCTCCTCCAAGATCACCACGGACTGCTGATGGCTTCTGCCTCCCCCCCATTCTCCCCGGCTCCTTGTTGGTTTTCTCTATGGGTTTCCGCCTCCTTAACCGCTCCACATTTTGCACCCCACTTCCTGCTGCCTTTATCACTGAGCTGCAGGCGGTTGGGATAGACAACCCATTGGGGCCTTTCCAACTCTTCTGTTCTATGCATTTCTTGGTGTTCATTTCAGCCCTGTTTTCCTTTGGCCATAAAAACCCCGCTGTGTGTCTTGGGGGCAGCAGCAGTGCATCTCAAGCCCCTAACTCTCCCTAACTCTTTCTCCCTGCTGCCCCACTTTCCTGTCCTGCCCTGGCTGCCTCCCTCCCTCCCCCCACCCATACCCCCACCCCAATTCTCCTCTGCGGGTTGGGGGCTTCGAACATCAACCCTGCATTTCTCAAAGCGGAAGCGGATTGTGTCTGTCTTCGCTCTGTATATATCTGTCTTCGCTCTGCATATCTCTGTCTTCGCTCTGCATATCTCTGTCTTCTCTCTGCACCTCTCTGTCTTCTCTCTGCACGTCTCTGTCTTCTCTCTGCACATCTCTGTCTTCTCTCTACCACCAGCCCCACCATTTCCCTGCCTTGAGGGCTCCCCTAAACCTATAAGCTGGTCTTAGCTATGTGCCATCTCCCCTCTCCCCCCCCCCGGTCAGTTACAGCAGCCTTAACCAAGCAGGTGCCGTCCAAATGCTTTGGCCTACAACTCCCATCAGCCTCCAGTCAGCTGTGCTGGCTGGGGGTTGGCTGGATTGGAATCCAGAACACTGGAGGGCAGCAGCAGCTTAGAAAAAGGGTGAATTATACTATAATACCCTTCCTCACTCCTCCACCATTGCCACTAACTGAGGGAAATGGGATATCTAACATCTGGGTCTATATCCCTAGCTCTTGGTTTTGTTTTTTTTAAAGAATTCCTCAAGTTCCTTCTCTGTGTGTGAGTGTTTTTTTTAAAGGATGGGTATTTTTTAAAAATACATTAAACTCCCCACCCCACAAGCGTCTTCCCACAGGGCGTGGGGCATTGCGTTCATGTGCGTTATGTGTCAGAATTTAATTAAAGATGTGTCAAACTTCACCTTGTGTCTGCTAATTTTTTTGGGGGGGGGGCTTTTGCTGAACCGCCCCCCTGAACCCAACCCAGGGGACCGGGAGAGCTGTCACCTGGGCTCGGATTGCATCGGCCAGCAGATTATTTACTTATTTCATAAAATTTATTACACCACTTGATTGTGTTGGAAAACAACAACGAGCTAATAATAATTTTGATAACTTTATTATTTGTACCCCGCCCATCTGACTGGGTGGCCCCAGCCACTTTGGGTTTACCGAGGGAATGAAACGGATCAGTCAAAACAACTCTTTCAAACATTCAAGTGATGAAATCGGCAGCAAACTGGAATCCGGATTAAAACACATGTAAGCGTTCCGCATCTCTGGGTAGCCTTGTCAAAACAAGAATCGTTTGTGAAGCACTGAAAAGAGCACAGCCTGATATCAATAAGCAGGGAGTTCCAAAGTGTAAAGGACCGATCTTTTGCAAATTTCGGATCTGTAGCAGCTCTCGCCGTGATCTCGCAGGTAAATTATTCCCATCAGGTTGGGGACAGACGTGGTGATTCAGCTGGGGTTGGGCCTGGACAGTGGAGATGGGATATACTGCAAGCAGAGGTGTTGAGGTCCGGATATGGGGGTGTCAGAGACCCATATATCTGCAGCAGGGTTCCCACCTCCAGTACCCCAAAGCCAATCGATTGGCATGAAAGCTGAGCTTTTTTTAGTCAATTCTGTGTCCAGGGCAGCTGTTTATCAGCTCCATCTGGTACGCAGGATGAGACCCTACCTGCCCGCAGACTGTCTCGCCAGAGTGGCGCATGCTCTGGTTATCTCCCGCTTGGACTACTGAAATGTGCTTCATGTGGGGCTACCTTTGAAGGTGACCCGGAAACTACAACTAATCCAGAATGCGGCAGTTAGACTGGGGACTGGGAGCAGCTGCCGAGACCACATAACACCGGTCTTGAAAGACCTCCACTGGCTCCCAGTACGTTTCCGAGCACAATTCGAAGTGCTGGTGTTGACCTTTAAAGCCCTAAATGGCCTCAAAGGCCCAGTATCCCTGAAGGAGCGTCTCCACCCCCATCGTTCATCCCAGACACTGAGGTCCATCTTCAAGGGCCTTCTAGCGGTTCCCTCGCTGCGAGAAGCCAAGTTACAGGGCGGAGGGCCTTCTCGATGGTGCCACCCGCCCTGTGGAACTCCCTCCCACCAGATGTCAAAGAGAAAAACAACTACCAGACTTTTAGAAGACATCTGAAGGCAGCCCTGTTTAGGGAAGCTTTTAATGTTTAATAGACTATTGTATTTTAATATTCTGTTGGAAGCTGCCCAGAGAGGCTGGGGAAACCCAGCCAGATGGGTGGGGTATAAATAAGAAATTATATATAAGTCTTCTCACCTTTGGGCTGATTGGAGCCAATCGTCGTTCGAGGAGACATGCCGGCCACTGAGAATAGGCTCCTGGGGTCACTCTGGAGAAGTATAGCAAGGAGAAGGTGTTCTGCTTGCTCCACAGTTAAGCGCTCAGGAACACAGAAAAAGCCCAACGTGGAAAGTCGATTCCAGTCTGCGTCAACAGAAATCTAGTGTCCAGAGCAAGGGAAGTCATAGAATCATAGAATCATAGAGTTGGAATAGACCACAAGGGCCATCGAGTCCAACCCCCTGCCAAGCAGGAAACACCATCAGAGCACTCCTGACATATGGTTGTCAAGCCTCTGCTTAAAGACCTCCAAAGAAGGAGACTCCACCACACTCCTTGGCAGCAAATTCCACTGTCAAACAGCTCTTACTGTCAGGAAGTTCTTCCTAATGTTTAGGTGGAATCTTCTTTCTTGTAGTTTGGATCCATTGCTCCGTGTCCGCTTCTCTGGAGCAGCAGAAAACAGCCTTTCTCCCTCCTCTATGTGACATCCTTTTATATATTTGAACATGGCTATCATATCACCCCTTAACCTCCTCTTCTCCAGGCTAAACATGCCCAGCTCCCTTAGCCGTTCCTCATAAGGCATCGTTTCCAGGCCTTTGACCATTTTGGTTGCCCTCCTCTGGACACGTTCCAGTTGGTCAGTACATAGTACAGTGGTACCTCAGGTTAAGTACTTAATTTGTTCTGGAGGTCTCTTCTTAACCTGAAACTTCTTAACTTGAAGCACCACTTTAGCTAAAGGGGCCTCCTGCTGCCGCCGGGCCGCCGGAGCACAATTTCTGTTCTCATCCTGAAGCAAAGTTCTTAACCTGAAGCACTATTTCTGGGTTAGCGGAGTCTGTAACCTGAAGCGTATGTAACCTGAAGTGTATGTAACCCGAGGTACCACTGTACTGCTCTTTTCTGCCTCGGATCAGACCCTGCCTGGAGTCCTGTGTCCTGTTCTGGGTACCCCACTTTCAGGAGGGTGTCGACAAAGTGGAAGGTGTGCAGACGAGGACGATCAAGGGTCTGGAAACGAAATCTTAGGCAGGAACGGTGGAGGGAGTTAGGTATATTTTGCAGGAGGAAGAGATGTGAACTGCCCTAAGATCAATGGGTAAAGGACAGTATACGATTAATAATAATAATAATAATAATAATAATAATAATAATGTGTTTTTTCTGGGTGGATGCCAAGCTACGCATACCCCTAAACATTTTGTGAATCTTCGTATTTATTTTTCCCGATTTGAAGTACAAAACGGTGGTTTTCTTGAGTCAATATGAGAGTACAGTGGTACCTCGGGTTAAGTACTTAATTCGTTCCGGAGGTCCGTTCTTAATCTGTAACCGTTCTTAACCTGAAGCACCACTTTAGCTAATGGGGCCTCCTGCTGCTGCTGCGCCACCGGAGTACGATTTCTGTTCTCATCCTGAAGCAAAGTTCTTAACCTGAAGCACTATTTCTGGGTTAGCAGAGTGTGTAACCTGAAGCGTATGTAACCTGAGGTACCACTGTACTCCTAAACATTTTTTAAAAGAAAAAAAAGCACTGATAATAATAATAATAATAGGATAAAGGTAAAGGGACCCCTGACCATTAGGTCCAGTCGTGGCCGACTCTGGGGTTGCGGCACTCATCTCACTTTACTGGCCGAGGGAGCCGGTGTCCAGCTTCCGGGTCATGTGGCCAGCATGACTAAGCCGCTTCTGGCGAACCAGAGCAGCGCACGGAAACGCCGTTTACCTTCCCGCCAGAGTGGTACCTATTTATCTACTTGCACTTTGAGGTGCTTTCAAACTGCTAGGTTGGCAGGAGCAGGGACCGAGCAACGGGAGCTCACCCCGTCGTGGGGATTCGAACCACCGACCTTCTGACTGGCAAGTCCTAGGCTCTGTGGTTTAACCCACAGCGCCACCCACATCCCTAGCCATCTTCAAATATCTCATGGGCTGCCCTGTGGAAGATGGACCGAGCGTGTTTTCCGCTGGACCCAAACCACCGATGGATATTCAAACTGCAACAGAGATTTGATACCACCTGAACATCAGGAAGAACTTCTCTTGGAAATGGAATGTGTCTGTTTTTCGACTCCTGCCCTCCTGCCCATTGGCTGCTGCCAGCCTCCCCCCGCAATTCCATTGGCTGCCTCCTTGCAGGGGAGGGGGAAGAGATTTATAAAAGGGGTGTTCCTGGCACCTGCTGCCCACTCAGGGTGCCAGCTTGCCCACGGCTGCAACCATGAGGTCTGTTCCCCAGCTGTGTCTGTTCCTGCTAGCTGTTTGCATGATGCCCAGGGCAACCCTCCATGCCAGCCCCCCGAAATTCCTACCCCCTGAGAGCCAGGTAAGGTTTGGGGAGAAACTAGGGGGGAGGTCTTCCTAGTTGTAAACCCCCAAAATAGACAACTAGGGTGTTACGTTTGGGATTCTCAAAAATAGGAGTGGAGAGCAATTGTGCAGATTTAATTTTTTATTTTCCCCAAATATCAGGGGGCAGGATGGTAAGTTTCTAGGGAAATCAGGGTATGTGTGTTTTTAAATGAATTTTTTATTTAAGAAAGGGCATGCTGAATTAAAATTGTAATCCAAACAAACAACCAATTTTATCATTCAATTTGTGCCAATTTGTGCCGTTTCATTCACAATCCCTGGAAAGAATTATTACAGGGAGTAGGGGGTAGTAAACACCCCTCCCAAGATTTTAATTATTTTATTTTATTCCATAGAATTGTAGAGTCGGGATATATGTTTGAGAGATACAGAAGTGAAGGAATAGCTTGCCTGTTTGACATTATCTGGTCCACAACATTTTAAAAAAAACACAAGAAAATTATGCAAAGCAGAGAATATTGTTTAGGGAGTGGGCGATTTCTGGGTTTGCTCCCAAATTCAGGGAGACAAGTGTGAGTTTGCCTGGTGGGAGGCAGGGAGAAGATCGACAGACTTGGCGGAAAGGAGGTTGTGGTCCTAAATCTGGGATGGAAATTCTTCCAGGGGAGTTAAGCAACACACTTTTTCCTGTTGGAGGCGAGAGAATCGATGGGTGATCTTCAGTTCCCTTCCAAACTTTGTGGGCTAGATTACTTTAGATCTCTGAAGACCTACAGATTTAATTTTGTAGCCTGGCTTGGGACCGCGAGTAGAAAAAAACACATTTTTATTTATTTATTTCCCTTTCCCCCCACAAGGAGTTTAAGGTAGCTTTGTGCCTGGCTCCCTCATTTAATCCCCACACAATAATCCTGCGAGATAGCTTAGTCTGAGAGAGAGCGACCGGCTCGAAGTCATCAAAAAGCTTTGTGGTCCAGCCAGGATTCGAACCCTGGTCTCCAAGGTCTTAGCCCCAAAACTCTAACCACTACACCACACTGCCCTCCTAGAAATGCCTCTGCGGTGGCTGCTAAACTGAGGAACTTCCTCCCCACAGAGGCCTCCATTTTCAGCTTCCAAATAATGTTGCAGATGCCCCTCTTTACCTGGGCTGATCATAGATCCGTAGAGTCGAAAGGGACCCAGGGGTCATCTAGTCCAACCCCCTGCCAGCAGACATCGTGGGTAATTTGCAGACTTGCATGGATTGGAGTGGGGTGTATGTATGTACATAT